TAGATTATAAACGGGACATGGCGCTCATTCATAATCATGCTAGCTCAAAGCAATAGATTGACCCATGCACATGAATGGAAATTTTTGCCGAAAGCGTGCCAGGCACCGATTTACTTGGCTTCATTGACAGCCTCGGTTCGGGTTGGTTCACCCTGCCATGCTATTGGAGATTTTGAAAGAGCCCATGGCCGTTACATCCAAATGAGATAGGTGCTACACTTAACGTTACCAGGGACGAGGTCACGAATGGCCTATGCCCATTAGTCAAGTACGCAAGAGGCATCGATAGCATCTCCGATGCCACACGCCGATGACCGCAGCAACACGAACGTGCAAGGCAACGAAACTCTAATGATTTCACTTCGCTCCGCCGAGATTCATCTTTCCCGGCCTTCGTAACGGAACACGATGAAGCCGGGCACCTTGGCCTTTCTTCCCATCGGGTGGTCTCGCCATCATCAATGGATTATCGAGTATATCAAGATTGATTGTCATCAGACAAAAGGTATTATTATGGCGACCTATACCCTGTTCCCGAGGCACCCAAACGCGAAATCTTTCTTGTCCAGATCCCACGAATGAGATGGATCGAAGTTTCCCCTCGAATAGGTTCTTCTGAACCTCTAACTGTTGAGAATTCCAAAGCAGAATGGGAAACCGTTCGGTACTGAAAGGTCTGATCCTTGCTTCAGTCCTCGGTCACGCTCTACATCCATTCCCCCTCTCATTTCTCTCGTCCCACATTTTTACTTGTTTTTCTCTCTTTCGCTTTCCACCGCACTCGATCATCAAGCTTGCGCTACCTGCTTTTGAGATAGTCACATTTTCACGTGGAAACGACTTCAGGAAATGCGTTCTGATTCTTAAGTATGAGAATTTTTTTTCAGTAGGAAGGAGTCCTTTTTTCATGCACGCTTCGATCATTGCCCTGTGACCGAGGGGTTTCGATCCATGGAGCATGAAATGGAAAAAACCGGGCCGAGGAGACAACCGCAGTTGGATTTATTGTCCTGGGGCCTTTCTTTCCTTGCGGTTGATGTATTTCAAGCCGATCGGAAGGTAGAGATGGAATTATCAAGGAGAAACATAGCATATCCGAGCCCGGAAAGGAAATTCCAGTCCCTCCACTATCAATCTGCTACACGGTCCTAGATTCCCCGTATTTCCTCGTGCGTAACGACTCACCGTGAAGAGCTTCTACGCCGACAGAGTTTCGAGCTGCATCTCTCTTGTTCCCGGTTCACTCTTCTTTCCTTCCTTCCTTCCTTCCTTTCCTGGCCGGGCGGATCGAACAGTGATCCAGGAAGGGCGTGACCATGAAAGTGGAAGTCTGCTAACGGCGTCTGGGCTCATCTTGCCGACGGGTAAGCACCCACCTACCATCTGGACATTCCTCGGAAACGGGAACTTCCTCATGCTTGACGATGTGTGAGATTTTAAGTGCAGGGTTCTTCTTGAGCTAATCTTTTCGTGCTACCCTTGCACCGGTTTCCTGTCTTCAGGACGCCTTTACCGAAAGCTCTCAAATAATGGTGTGCCCGTTGAAACGTGTCTTTTCTAGTCTTTCTTCTCTAGTCAACCCACAATTTCCATCGTCCAACTCGAGATAGTGAGCGGCCGATCATATCGTAGTGCTGGATTTTTTTTTTCACGTATACTGATATCTTAGACCGCTGATGCCCCGAATTCAGACTGTGCAAGGGAATCCATCGCTGATAAGCATAATATGATAGGTCAGCACAAGCGGGTCATGACGAGGATTAGGAGCAAACTGCCGTCGACCCCCATGTGAAAGTGGCGTATTCTCACGAAGAACGGTGGCGAGGAAAAAGGGCACAGATATCGAGCTTTTGATCCTATGAGGGACCTCGATGTGCTTCCTTGGAGGGACGGAAGGAGAAAAGGAATCGAGAGATGGGATTGATGCCATTCCAGATGGAAGAAGAGGGAAAGGAACCGATATTTCTGCACAATTTGCGCCGCAGGTGGACCCTGAGAAATTGCCGGCCCCAACTGTGCCGTTTATGCAGATTCGGCTAGACTCAAAGGTTCCAGTCACGACAGTTTTCCTTCGGTCGTCTCGAGAGGTCGAGAGAAGTATCTTTGTTCTGTCTCTACTCCCATATTTTGGCGTGGACAATTGTGCAGTGCAATACCTTTCCTGTCCCTTCGCGTTCCTTCCGATCCCTGCACCGACACGAGATACGGTAAAGAACACTGTTCTCATTCTCGGAAGTGAGACAGCAATCCTCCTCTATCTGGCTTCCTTTTACGTCGTCGGGGAGGACTTTCACCTATAGTGATTGACCTCCATACATGCCGGAGTTGCTCCCCTGCGTCGTAGGCGTAATGCTCGACAGATGCCTCAATTTTTCTTCCTTAATGTACATCGTCTCCCAACCTTCCCAATCATTGGAATGACACTTGAAAAATTGTCCCACTCCCTGTCAAGAGGGTGCTCGTGTGAAGTTATCGGGGACTTTTCTCATATTTGTTGCCAGATGAAAGACGTAATCGCTCTGCTGCCTTTTCTCGCAGGTCAATGTCCGGATGATGTCTCCATGAGAACACCTTCATTCGGCCGAAAGAATCCTCTTGACCGCGGAGACGCGCCTCATTCCTAGGTGGCTCCGGACACAACCTGGGGCGCGTTGAGAATCCGTGTAAATCTGGAATTATGACGGGGAAGGAGAGCCGGGGTGAATGCGTTGCCGCCGGCCTGCGTGATTTGTCCCCCCATAAATTCTCTCCTTCGGGGTTTTCATCCTTGTCGTGAGCAGGTGGTTATTCGAGATAGGAAGTCCAATGTGACACACCCATCAGTGAGAGCGTATGCGCACATTCCTTGCTAAGCTGAAAGCATTTACTTTCTTCTACTTTGCCTTTGTTCCGGGATCATATGCCAGTATGTCGGTACTCCCGTTTGAATAACGGAGACCGACTTTTCGATTACCATCGCCACGGTTGCTGGAACGGGTCTCACCGGCTTCCTCGTCCTCGTCCCTTTTTTTCCGACTCTTATGCTTAATCGGTCAATCACAGCAGGGCCTTGTCAATCATCATGACACATGCCTATTGAGCTTTACGAGCTCCCTCTGCATTCCGTTCCCAACCGAACCTCATCGAAGAGGCACGAATGAGCCAGACGTGCAGGCTCGAGAGAAAGGTTTTGCACGCCACACTTGTTCCGGACTTGAAAAGTGCATCTTGATGTACTTCTCGAATGAAAGTAGAATCGAGCGAATCTTCATTGCGCAATCCTTTATTGTCTCATTCTCCCCTTTCTTCTCGATCGGTCTGAATGGGTCACTGGGTCTTCGTCTCCCATCCCCGAGTTTTCGTAAGACGCCCTCAATGTTATCGAGATTGCTAAAGTCTCCCACGCACGTGCGCCGTCCACGAAAATTGCCCTGCATCACGCCAAGGAGCCACAGGCCTAGACGGGAAACTCCCCCTTTTCAACCTCGTTTTAAGATTGAACACTTCTTCACTCGAGGGGTGCTCGTCGAGTTGATACGAAGCGGAGCCTCGCCTTCTCATCCCTCTTATTTCCTGGTTCGAGGGGGCAGCGAACGCTCATCCCCCCCCCCCCCCCCCCCCCCCCCCCCCCCTTTTCGAAGATGGTGGAGGTCCTTAACCTTTTGCATTTTAAGAGCATGACCATGGGAGAGAGGAAGGGAAGGGCGATTTATCAAGTCCTAGTTTTTCCTTCACGTCCAAGTGAGTGAAAATATATAGATGACATGCTATCTTGTTTTGTGGCTTGCTCCACATTTGCATAACAATTTCGAAACAATCACTTTCTTCTTCCTCTCTTCCTCTCTTCCTCTCTCTCTCTCTCTCTCTTTCCTATGGGATTTTTGCCAGGGTTCAATCCATCTCTTCCACGATGTTCGGCTCACGATTCCCTTCTTCCATCAAACCGGCTCAGCCCCATGCCGAGCTCATTTCTCGCGCTTTTCATGACTGATACCGATCACTCTGATCACTTTCACCCACTCTTTGGGGGTCCGCCTGGTGAGAACAGAATGGCAACAGTTGTGAAAATGCACGATGGACGAGACCTCCAGCCGTCACGACTCCATTGGCCGAAAATGCCACCCATAGATTTCGTCCTCCTCCTCCTCTATAGTCGGTCATATGGAAAAATGCGTGAGGGACTTTATCCTTAGGATTTCAATGGTAATGGCTTTTTCATGTTCCATAGTACTCTTCAGAGTTTCTGCGAGTGGTTTGGATTCCTTATGAGCGCTTGAATATACCACACATGAGCGTCATTACATGTACGAGTAGAAGTCGGAGTTGACCTCGGGAAACATGTCAGGGACCTCATTCATCGTAAGGCATATTCTTTCTTCATATTTCTGTAATAGATTTTTTCGTCTTCTGCTGACATGTCTTTGGAGAGTCCTCGTTCTCATAGTTTCTTTTCATACCACCGTTGTATTCCGTCATGATCCCTAACCCCAGTAGTTCTTGAGCCATCAAGGGTTCTCTCTTTCGCGAGATGAAAACCTTTTCGCATGTTTATCCTGCTGCAGTAAACGGCTATATACCACACACAAAAGTGGAACACGCTCTATCGTCAGGGACAAGGGCTATTTCAGTCATGCAAGTACGTCATTTCGGTGGAACATGTATTACGAGGTGATTTGGTGTCACGGTGAGTCGGTGGCACTTGAAAGAAGAAGGTAATTCCATAGCTGGCAATCTGACAAGGGAGCTCAGTCTCTCGCACAGGTCAACGCGTGACTCCTCTTTCTCATAGAGACCGCAAGACACTCAGCTTATGAACGGGACAAAGGTGATCCTTGTACCTCGAACCCCACGTGCACGTCCAGAATCACGTCGTGTCTTCAAAATGGTTAAAAAAAAAAAAATTAGAGAGCGATAGAGGTCCAGCCCGAAAAGAGAAACAGTCTTGTGAAATACCATAGAAAAAAAAGACCCGATAATCTGATGGATGAGATGAATTTCTGCGTGTCATTCCCATGTTCTAGATCGGAGGGCCTCAGAGCCTGAGTGGTATCCCGTCTCCTCGATTCGAAATGCCTCCGGGGCATTCTCTCCTCCCCATTCCCATGTCTCATCTGAAGAGGAACATGAGCCACAGCAACTTGAGCAGAATCCCGACCCTTTCTGGCAAGAAAATGGTGAGCTCGGATCCAGAGTGAAATATAACCCTCGAGCACGCATCATTTCCATCTCCTCTAGCACGTCTTCGTGGAATGGGGTCGGCCCGAATTGTGGAGTTATTTTCGAGGCCTCAATCTTCTCAGAGAAACGAAATCATATCATATTCTCTTATTCGAAATTATTCGCATTCTGTAGAGACTGCTCATCATGCGCCTGCAGGAGGTTCTTCATGTGCCTGCAGGACATTACATCACCACGTGTCGAATGCATGACGTAATTGAGGTGCTGCAGGGTTTTTTGTTACTCGCCACGCACGATAAATTCTTTTCCTGGTTCCTTTTAAATTCATTTTTTTCGATTGCTATTCCTTCAGGCAAAGGCAAGAATACATGTCTCTATGACTGATTTCAAAACGGTAGTTTGATTGCAGTTCGGTTATAGTTTCAGTTTAGACTTTGGTCTGATATAAATTCTACGGTGCCTTTGTCATAGTTTTCGAAATTCCAACGGGAACTGCAACTGAAATGCCACTAAACTGCGACTGTACTGCAGTTTTCAAATCAGCTTATGTCGGTACCTTCGTGGGTCGACCTCATACGCACAGGAACTCAATTCACTGTTGAGTACTGCTTATGGGGATTTTTAAAGATGTCAAATTTTATTGGGGAAAGTAACGTGTAAAGACGCCCCCCCCCCTCAATTACTAACCTGACAAAATCCGGATGATGCTATGGATGAATGCGTTGATTCAGTTTTATGACGGTTCTACTTTCAAGAACAATGAACGTTTCTCCGTTTTTGTCTCATCTCATCTAAAATATTCGGGTATCCGAAGATTGAGCAACGGCTTTGTTCAACGTTTGATTCGATATCCGGAAGGATTCTTGCGCTCCAGGATATAAATTCTTCCAAAAGCCGACAGCGCCTTCGACATAGTAAGCAACTGTGAAGAACATAGCAAAGCTGTGAACATTGCAAGCAACTGTGAACATCTTTTATTTCCTATTTCTTTATCCACGGACATCAGATGAGGGGTTGAAGAAAGATTAAAGAAATCTTAGGTGCTTTTGCTTACAATTTTCAGCGTTTTTTTTTTCAAGATTGGGTGAGTCTCGGGATGAAGTTTTTTCGGATGGATCCGATGAATGTTTCAGAAAATAATCACATTCAAGGCAGAGAAAGCATAAGCGACAGAGATTCCGTCTTAGACAAGATCAGGAGAACTCGGGAAAATGCATGAGTTTCTTGAATCGGAATCACAATCAGAATATCTGTAGTTTTTTTTTATCCTAGGGAATTTTTCATGCTTAGGATTGAATCTTGGCAGTCGTTGTCGGCCTGTTGGAATTTTGGGGAGAGGTTTCCCATTATAAATCTCCGGGGTATATAAATTTCCACGAATTCCGAACCGCAAAATGAGCTCCCATTATTGTACAGTCGCCAAGTGGGTCACAGTAGGACTCAAGCTGTCCTAATGTAAAATATCTTCATATTTATATTGATAAATTTCCCATGATTATACTGGTAAATTCCTGGGAGAAAAAAAGATACATATATTTGAATAACTATTGATAAATTAAAAGAACCATGCCTTTGATCTGCGAGTAAGTTTCTCGATAGGCCTGCAGAAAGTCGGTAGAGAAAGAGCTGGATACTTTTTTAATTATCAAGTCATGCATCGTATGTACGATAACACAAGATGCCAAAATAATGGGCTCAAAATCGCCTCAATCATCGTTACATTTCTCTCCATTCCCTCTCTCTCTGTCGTTCTCTGCTGAAAGTGCGTGCGGGCAAAACCACAGAACATGATGGTGTTACAAGCTCCATCTGACCCGTCCTGCTCAGGCTTATGGAACCCTGTAATCTTTCCCACGTGACTATAATCTAGTGAGTCAATCCGCTATGAGAGTAGGTGGTCTAACGAGAAGCCTCGGTCGGCGGTCTCCAGACAGAGGAAGCTCTTGTTTTCATGGTAAACTGACGAGATTCGGAGCTCATGAGCTTCTCCTCATGCCAAGGTAATTTAGAACGGAAGGCAATCGTTTGGCGTGCAAATATCATGGGCTCTCGAATCGTTTGCGTGGTATTGTGCAAAGGGAGATTTGTCGAACGGTGTTTGGGGATGGGGGGGGGGGTGATCAATCTGGATGGAATTCATTTCATGCTCGTAATTGGTTACCTTCGGGGGATGAAGGGAAGGACTGATGAGGCTCTTCTGCATTACAACTCGGGGAGGGAACCTTTCAGAGTCGACACGCTGTTATTTCAATTCACCTGATCTCATGCTGTCGTTTGATGAGTCTCAGATTAATGATTGGTCTTTCTTCTCAATGTCCTGTGTTTTTTTTTCATGTTTCCTTATTGTTCATTGTAGAGTCCCTTTGAGATGGGTCATCAAGCTCCGGGAATGAGAATGATGAAGAAGGCCATCTCAACCTCTCGTCTTGCCGTTCCATTCACCGCTGTGGTGAGCTCTCCCTCTTTTTCTTCGGTTTTTCTATTAGGGACTACTGAATAGTTGTCCCGTTTCCTACGAAATTAATTATTCTTTTCATCCAACCATGCCATTTCGTAATGAAGCGTTCCTTCAGAGTTCGGCCATTTCTTGTCCCCATTCATATGCAGAAGTAAGCCTGGTGAGATTTTCCACGGTCTGATCTCGGCGTGGTCTCGACGGTCATGCTTACACAAACATTCCATCAAGTGTGTGTTGGCAAACCGGAAATTCCGTTTTGCAAGCTCCATAACAAGATGTGGTTTGGCAGAACAATCTTTGTTCTCTTGCTGAGTTGTGCCTTCACGGGAGGCTAAGGTCGTGGTTCCTTTTTAGAGCGATTATCTCCCTGCGTGTGCGGAATAAGCACTGGCAGGGCCTCACGGAGAGTATTGGCAGAACTTCAGCGGCTTTCTCTCATTATGGAATCTTTTCGTGTCGAGGAAGAAGAGCGCAGGAGTTGGATGCTGATTCATAAAAAGGCATCCGTCATCATTGTCTGGGTTCGCTCGAGTGGAACTTATCTTCCTAAGAACTTTTTTTGCTGATTCCTTTCGCTACTTATGCGTCACATGTACGCTGCTTCAGTGACACGTGAAAATTTCGGATTTCCATCTCCCAGGGATTGTGTTCAACGATCTAGTCCGATAGTGGCAGCCGGGTTAGACAATGAACGGAACACCAGAACACCACTCTTGAGAATCGGGGGCCTCTTGCAAACAAAAAAAAAAGCTTTAGTCTAAAGTCTCTCATGCATACGAACTACACAAGGGGAAAGGTATTCTTTATTCTGTTTAAATTACATATTTAGGACTGATTGCACACACCAATGCTTAGAGGTCTCATGAATAGAGCAGTTCTAAGAAAGTCAACATATGAAAGGAGCAGTAAAAGTCGTGTATTTGCCTCCAGAACAAAAGAAAATTATATGAAAGTGGTGTGCTGATGACAATATATGTATGCATAAAAGAATTAAACTTGTATTTTTCTTCCGGTAAAGATGAGATTCCAGGATAAGATTCAGCACAAAAATCGGTTTCACGAAAAACGAAGATTTTTATATTTTCTTCAGCTTTCACTTAATTGTTTCCCGGATGATAGACTTTCCCGAGACTTTCTTTTAGAGGTTGTGCAGCTGACTTAATTAGTAATGAGAAAAACTTTAACTATCTTTTCGTTCCTACGTACTCCATTTTGTATTGGACATGGAATCCCTCTCCAAGAATAATCCTTTCTTTGAATAACAACCAACAGCGTATGTTTGTATCGCTTCCTGTGACGCGAGAGGTTCCAGACTCCTTCCTCCCCTTCCCCCCCGCCCAGCTAAAGACATGATAGAATTACCCCTATCAGAAAAAAAAAAACAAAGCAGAAAGCTCTTTGCGTCCTCATCTCGTTCAGTGTTGCTATTAAGCCGAGGATTCTGGAAAGGCCCAAGCTTTCGCAGTGCGGCTTGCTTCTTTCTGTACCTCTGCATATGTCAAACTAAGTATCGGATTGATTAATTCCGTTTGTCGAACAGGTTGAAGGCGATCAATAGGTGAAGACGATCTTACATATTGAAAGGAAAATTTGGCTAATCGTGTAAAACAAGAAGTGTGTGGTATTGATTCATCGGTAGAGGGATTTGGATTATGACTTTCCTTATAGATGTGGCATATGCGATCGAGCCATGAGCATCTTGCCATTCGACAAAGCGCGTTTTATAAATAGAACTTCGAAACATGCGAAACTTCTTTCGAAACAAAAACCTCATTTTCACAATCCGGAGAACTCAACCGGTCCTGGAAAACCATATTTCTTTTCAACTGGCTACTATTCCTACTCCATTGTCTTGTTGCCATTGACTGGTTCCATAGAATGGGCTCTGAGGCAAGAGTCATCCATCCCCAGAATCTCCGAGTTGGCAGACAATTTTCTGAGAGGAAGCCAAGTAAAGATAAAAGCAAGGGTTTTTAAGAAAAAAAAAGTTATCGAGACAGAGAAAAATACAGATTGATTTTAAGTGCAGCTTGCATGTTTACAATGCTTTCCAATTGAGTTCATAGTTTTTTTCACTCCACTCAAACGCGCTCTAAGCAGTTTTTAATCACCACTTTCATGCAGCAGATAAAGACGCTTCGTGCAAGAAGCTCCGACCTTCTTTTCTATGGAGTAATCGCGAGGACGGAGAGCAGAGTGATTTCTGATCGGTCTCTGGGGAAAGGGGGACAGAAGAAGCAGATGAGGTAGTCGACTCCCGCGATCGCCATCTGGCGCTTTACAGCGAAAGGCTCTAGTTTCTGTATAGAGCGCTAGAGTGCGCGTCGAATGTACGCTCCAAAAGAACATGCGATGCCACGTTTTTCATAACCTGGATGTGTTCCCAATTGACATTCTGTGCAGTGCATCTTACATGCACGTATATAATGATATAGATTCATTCATTCATTCCATCTCCGACTCACTGGACTCATTGAGATCGTCAGTAAGAAAAATATAGAAAAGAATGCCTGCTGTAGATACAATCAGCAAAGAAATTAAATGGGAACGAGCGAGAACGGCGTTCTCATATTTTTTTCTGTGGAAACGTCGTTCCCACAAGCTTTTTAAAAGGGAGTGGGAACGCCGTTCACATACTTCTTGCTCTTACTTCTTACTCCACGAGTAAAAAAATTTTCCTACCGTAGTCGGCTCTTGCAATTAATGACTGCAATGGGGACAAGGGGCAGTTGAACACATCACGTCCTCGTTTATATCGTTCCCATCTTTACCCAAACCGACTTTCATCACTGGTGTGGAATCGAAGAAAAAATAAACTCTACCATGGGATGCTTAATAAAGTCGTTAAATTAAAGTCGTTAAGTGAAGATTTGCGTTTAGAAAAAAAAAGGAACTTTGGTTCTTGTTCTGGTACTGTACTGGATGCTTCGCCTTAGTTTTAGTCCGTCCTCCCTGGTTTGCCTGGGGAATCCACCTTTAATGTCTTTCATCATGACGAGCCTCGTCGTCGTGGAGTCATTCACCGAGATTGGGGTTGTGGAAGGTTACTTATGCGTGGATGGAAGTTGTATGAGATTTCAGGCCTAGAGGTTGCAAGGGGGAAATCCTGCTTCGCATGTACATGAGTACATGAATGGACGAATCGCTTATTCCATCGCTCTAAAAATGCAAAGAAAGAAGGTCGATCTGCATTGCTACTCCTGGTCGTGCCGTCTCCAATTAACGATATTCGTGACGTTCTGGGCTTCTTTCAAGAGCGGCTTGTTATTAGCAGTTTTGTCGGTGCCCTCCTTTTTCTTTCATCAAAGGAGGGAGGAGGGAATGGGCGAGGCACCAGCTGAAACGATGACCCACTGATAAAGGGAAGAAGCTTGCATACGTTATACACGAAAAATATTCCCCTCCCTCTGTTCAGTTAGTACACACTGTAGGGTGGAGGAACTCGAGCAATGGACAATGCTTTTGAGCTGCGTGAGAACATTCTTCTCTTCAGCTTACGAGGTATTCTCCATTGTTCACGCCTCCTAGACCATTACTAGTCAAGATTGGATAGGTGTTGACCTGATGACTTCCGGAACCGGGTTGGATAGTCGCCTTCATTTGCAATGCAATAATAGTGGTTGCTTCCCCCTCGGGTGTTTCGCGCTGAGAAGCTCGAAAAAAGTACTTTCCATGAACTGGAGCGGAGTACTCGATCGTGATCCCCTTCTTTGACCGACTTCCCTGGTCCCTTGCTTCCCATTTTCTGATGCAACCTCTGCAGCGTTCGAGGGTAACTCTTTTCACCGGTGACTGATGATGGCGTGAAGATGGGAAAGAGCTGGAAGGTCGTGTGATGATGGAAAGGGAAAGTTCACAGCTCCATTCCAGAAGCCTTCTCGCCGGCAGCCCGTAATGAAGGGTACTGCACCTTGACCCCTTCCCATCTCCCTCGAAATTGATTCCCCCCCCCCCCCCTATCTGAAACGGGAATATCCTATCTTCTGTGAATGACCTCGCATGTGCTCCAAAAAAAAGAAATCGTGGCCATAATTCATCAGGGAGCCAGCGGTCACCGATTTTCCTTATTTCGCAAAAGTAACGGTCCCAAGTGTAATGATGGCACATAAGGTAGAATAGTCGATGAAACAAGATGCGAGGGAGTCACGGTAAGGGAGTTTTCCCAGACGAGTTTCACAAGGTTTTTAGTCGCCTTCTCCCCACGCCGTGAGAAGGCCTTGTCGCCGTAGAACGAGATTTCCCAGAGAAATGGACTGAAGCATACGTGTCTCCGCTCTTTACCATTTCACTCCCTCATAGACGGTGAATCTGTGCCTGTGTTGACTGTTATTGGCGTAATTCAAGTGAGAAATAGTCCAGGGGAAGCAATTAGAGTGCCTTTCATTCGCCTCGTCCGTCTTTCCTTCCTTCCTGCCTTTTTTTGCCCTCAGTTCTGGTCATCACGTCCGCTCCTCTGCAGTCTTCTTAGCAATATCGGTTATGGAACTGGGTTCTGCTCTTCATCTACGACTCTCTCACTGTGAACTATCGTTCTTGTAAGTAACACATTTTTTGCACGTTATTCTATGAAGAAGGCCTGTCTCCCACGAGGACTCTCATCTTGGAAAGTATAGCCTAGTATTATGAAGTTTAGCCAAGAGAACTTTTTTTTCTAGTACTTTGCCACAAAACTCCTGACCCGTTTCACGCTAGGTACTTGGATGTCTTCATTAGCACCTGCCAAAAAAAAAAAAACATATGTGGTCATCAGGGGATCTTCGTGAGTAAGCTGCGTTTTTGCAACCCGCAATTACCTCCCATGTTTTATCCCGAGAAGATCCCAGCTTCTATTTTCCCCCCATTTTTTATCTTCTTTTTTTTTCGTTTTTTTGCTCTTCCTTCCCTGAACCAAAAAAAGTACAATGGGACAATTACGGTGGAGAGCAATATAAGAGCAGAAACCGTAGAAGTGCCCCCTGCACCGTCCCCTGTTATGAGTCCTCCCATTATAAAGCGATTTGTTCTTTGAACTGCCTCATTCGAGTCGTGAGCTTTCGTGTGCGTGCTTCCCCTTCGCACGTCCGGTTAGTATGCTTTACAGTCAGTTCCTTGTCGGTCTTGTGGCCTCTTCGTCTCCTTGTCCCATGGCTGTGTCCTTTCGTGCGGTAGGGATTGACGAAATGCAGTGGCTTTCCCTCTAATTTCCCGCACGTGAATGGACTGTCCGCTTCCCCCAACTCTCATTGTGCTGTGAAATGAAGCTTACCTCGGTTATGTCACTTTGAGACCACTTGAAGGCTTTTCCCTTTAGCTCATGGCCAGGAAACCGTAACTGTTCCCTTATGCCTGGGAGGCTGTAAGCTGCAATTTCCGGCAATAGAAGTTGATTCCATTCAGTTCACCCATGATTCGAAGTGTACGAGACCGAGTTATGTGTGTCCATGGCGGTTCACTCATCGCTAATTTGCAGGGAAGTGACGATATGAACATTTTCAATACTTTTATAGTTTGATATTCTGCCTTCCGATATTCGATAACCGATAATGGCAGCTGATGTAGAAGGAGCAACTCTTTAATGAAGCTAGCAATATGGTTCTTGCAAATGAGATCACGGAAGAAAAATTTTATCCACTCCCGTTTCAAGTTCTGCTTTTCTGGAACCAAATTCACAGACCAACCTTTTTCATATTATGTAACTAGTTTGCTCGAGCCTAACTATGTTCTGCGGCTCCTTTCTTCCAAATTAAAATTTTCTCTAAGAATCAGCTTAGTCTAAGATTAATATTTGATTTGCCTACACAGAGAAAAACGACCCGTTATAATGCGTCATTTGACATGTGTCCCGAAATAATTTCTTATTGGTTCCGAAAACGTGTCGTGAGTGTGTCGAATGGCACATTCTGTAGCTTGACTTTTTTTTCACGCGTGTCATTTGACACATGTCCATCTGCCAAAACTTTTTCGTGCGTCATCCGACACACTTCGACCTGTGTCACTTGCAGTAAAACATGCAAAATGACACACTCGAGTGTGTCAAGATTCATGACACATTAATTTGTGTCACCCAGGTGATGATCAGACACACTTTTATGCGTCATTTGGCATACTAAAAGTTTTCAGTGTATGCTATGTTGGTCTACTATTTTTCCTTTGCATGTGAATATGTAGATTTAGGTGTGGTGATGACGACCGATTCCTCCTTTATTCTTACGCTTTCAGGATACTCCGAACGTTGAGGTTCAAGTCTAACTTTATACTATGAATACTGATCACCATAGGCGGCGATTTGTTGAGAAACATGGGGGGAGGGGCTCAGAGACCGTACTCCTTTGCAATTTTTCCTTATTCACATGTCCATACTGCCCCCTCTCCCCCAATCTCTGCACTCAGACAGATTTAGGCTTGGTCTAGAACAGTTTTCTAGAACAATTTTCTGCCAACTGTACCAGATTACAAGACCAAGACCTCAACTGTACTAGCAACAACTACTGAGGCAATTTGAAGCAGTCTAGCCTTTGTATGCTAAAACTCCATGAATTTGTAAAAATCCGCTGTTCGTCTACACAGCTAGATTTTTCCCTTATTGACATTCCGCAATTACCCGCAATTTTTAGTCCTTGCCGTCCAAGTATCTTCAACGTGGAGAAAATAATCACTGACGCTCTTCTAGTGCCTAGATCTGCCATACGAGCTTCAGTCTATTGACCTTTCCAGTCCCTTTTTCCAATTACTAAAAGCACTCTCTTGTTCGAGGACGTGAAGAGGCCCTTCTCAATGCTTTCTTGCAGATTGAACAGACCACCTTTCCAATGGGGCTTTCGAACGATAACCAGATATGCTTAATATAAAGCTATCATCACTTCGGTTGGACTAACAAAAAATGTTTCATGGATTGTAAAGGGGACTGAGCTGCTTCTGCTAAATATTTCGGGGATCCGAGCCCCTGAACCCCCAATGAATTGCCGCCTATGATGATCACCATTGTTAACAATGTCATCAATTAGACTTAGAAATTCATTTCGATTTTATGACCTCATTCCATCCTAGGTTGTCATCAAATTTCAGTTGCCGCATTTTCTGCAATGGTAGTGTATAATATAGGTACTAATTAGGGCTGTCACTAAACATCCAAGGAAACATATGAACATTCTATCGGCGTTAGAGGAGCATTAATAGTTCTGCCTCCATACCGCTGAACGTTGAGGTAAAACTAATGCCACTTATGAGGTGAACGTTCCCTCTCGATCTGGTTGCAAGTAGAAGTATTTGCAACCTTCCAAACTTCACCTTTCTTCCAGTGACTTCTGAGGTTACTATATTCCTTCGCATGACAAGAATCATAAGCAAATTATGTCTCACACCGCACGAATTTGCTTGAGAAAATTCACCGAGTGACCATAAATTTCAAGCCGTTACCCATTTTAGTTGAGAGGGTAGTCTCAGCATTCACGACCAGACACTGTTGGTGCGGTTACAACATAATTCCAGAAGGCCTTCAAGTGAGATGGCTGGTCGAACCTTCAACACTTCCTCTGTCCTATCAGTTATAATTGTCCGGAGTCTGCCAGGGCCGAATTATCTCTTCAGACAATTGTGTTAAAGAATTCCAGTGGCTTCCCCTATGTTATATGTGGAAAATGATCTGGTTCCACATGAAAGTGCTAGGGACAACTCTAATGCATCAAGGAGTGATTTGTTACCTTGACGATTCAGGTATTATCTAGCTTCTGTCGTCGGAACCATGCTTGCATAAGTGACTGACAGATGGCGTGCTTGCTGTTCCTTTTAAGTGTTATGCCAGCATCCACATTGAATGCCACAACAGCTATATCAACGTTATTAATCAACGTTGTTATATAAGTTTTCCTAAGCTCGGGTGACCTTTGTTTTGAGCGCATGTAAAAGGGACATTTTAACGTTATGCATTCGGATTCGGATATGCAAACACTCAGATGGCACATTGTCAGCCTTGCACAAACAATGCTGCGTTAGATGGAGATATTCAACACTGCTGTTTGCTGATAGTTCGGTGATATCGTCGGTTTTCTCCTCTTGAATATCGAGCATTGTCCAGCGCATAATACTTTCTTTTTAATATTGGCTGCCCCGCTTTGAATGGTTTCTTCGAATTCATCGGTAGTGGTTCACCTACTTTCCTTCGCATGTCTATCCTTAATGAAAACTGGATTTTCTACTACACTGAATAACACAAAAATACATCGTTTTATGCATTTTTCTCTGAATTTATGTATTTTTATGTACAGTAGTTTAATACATAAATTAAATGTTCAGAAATTTGGACACGGGATGCAAGAAGATAACAAGTTTCGTGAGGAATCTTCGTATTGAAAAGGAAAATGCGAGTGCGTGCTGATGATGATGGGTCTGTTCAGCGAACCTGAAAAACCAGTGGCGGGGGGAAAAAAAGGAAGGGAAAGGCCGTCAGAGAGAGAGAAGCCACTGCAGTGCAGGCAAAAATAAAGCATGAACCATCAGGTTGTGTTTTTTCTTCCTCCCCCCCCCCCCTTTCCGTCCGTTTGTGCTGACTTCCTGTCCTTCCCCGCATGAGATTACGGTGCGGCAGGAAATGGACTTTGGATCGTGAAGGATTATTCACAGAACCTGAAATTACCGTTCGGAGAAATTTCCGTTCTTCCATCTCCTCATTACTCACATCTATCAATTACGATATGTTTTGCCGTTGCATAGATGTCCCCTCAATAGCTCAGGCAAATGCGTGAATGTTCTCGAAACTGCCTTCGTAACGGCCCTAATTCTAATATCCAAATTCACAGCAGCCAGTGTTACTGAATAGGCCTGCGTCTGGGTGATGTTGGCAGGCATAGTGCATTTTTATTGAGGGAACAGGCACTCATTACGCATTTGCGTCAAAATCAAATATCAGAAGAGCAAAATGTCTGATTCTTGGCCATTTTCAAATTTTACAGTATATATTACGACATATATTACATTCCTAGTTGTTGGGTTTGCGTAAATGTGCATATCCTTGACGTCCATGACTCAGGTCTTCTCGGAGCTTCACAATCCGTGTCTGTGCACAACAACCTCAAATCCTAAGAACTGAAGTGTAACACTTTCAAGGGATGTGAGAGAAAGGACTCAGTTGCCCATGAAAAGACTTCGGTCTGTCAAGAGCCATCGAGTCTTTGATAGCATGACTTGTGTCGATCTAGAACTTCGGAGATGACTGGGGACAACTGAAGAGCTCGAGCCGGTCGAGAAATTCGTCCTCTTCCTCCCTTCGAATCAAGGATGATCATCGTCAGCCGTTGAGTCTTCCTGTCTCTTCTCGTTTACCACTTCGCCACGTTGAGCCTCTCCTTCAACCGCCCTCTGTGAGTTCCTCTCTCTCTCCCTATAGCTCTTATGTACTATCAGTTCCAGTAAAAAAAAATGAGAGCACAATGGAAAGCATTAGTTCATCCTGAATCATAGAAGCATAAAACAACATCACATCATGGGGGGAGCGGCTATGTCATCAAAAGCGGCAGACCGTGTCAGACTGTCCCAAAGGAGGAAACGTTAGTTACTTCGCCACCCCTAAGATCAAAAAGATAACAAAAAGGGTGAAATGAAAGAAATAAAAATGGGAAAACAATTTTTTTAGGGAGCGGGAGAGAAGAAAGGAGATGATTGACCCGTAAACCCCATAAACAATCTTTGCTCTGAATAAAACTTGAGTTCTGCTGGGAAACCGTCTTGACATCCCGTTTATGGTTGCTGATTACATTCCAGCATATGGCTTAGGAGTGTTCGCCGATGCATGATGCGTTGTCTCAATGGGATCTCTGAGGCTATGAAAGGACGAATTACTCGATATTTCTGAAGCTCTCATTCGTCGACCGTTCACTGAAGCATGTCAAAAAAGGGACCATCTGCCAAATGGACATTCGCTAATTTGCATCTGACAATTTTTTTCCCCTTGTTTTTAAAATAGCTCATTAGAAAGGAAATGCATTGTTCCATTGATGGTACATGTCTTGGCGTTCTTTTGTTCTCGCAGAGCCAGGAGGAGCTACTGGAGCAATTAGGTCATCAACATAGACTCCTTGTCACTGGACTAGGAAATCTCCGCCAGAAGCTGACATCCGTTGCCGGCTGCGAAGGAAGTGCCAAGCCCTTGGCTGCTCGCAGGAATTACTTGAATATTATTTGGAAGATGGAGGAGAACATCTCTGTCATAGACAATCTCCTCGTCAAAATCAAGACTCTCAACTCCACCTTGGTGGAAGCGAAACGCACCGAGAGCATCGTAAGTACCCCTAAGATGAAAGGTTCAGTTGCGGGCATAAGTTTAACTAGCTTTGGTTGAGGTCGAGAGAGGGAAGAGAGAGAGAGAGAGAGAGAAAAAAGTAATATTTCAATTCTTGGCCTGTCGCGTAACTCTCTCTATGCATTCCTTGTGGAAGCTCTGGTATCTCTCCCTTCCGATAGGGGGCGGTACTTTCATGCCTGTAATTAGCACGCGTGGCTATGATATGGAATGGCTTGGTGACGTCTGTATTTCTTGGCATTTTAGATACAGTCGTCATACCATCTGTCAGGGGTCAGGTGTTGCTTAACGAGTGGTGGGCTGGCCAGTCACACGAAGATGAGCCTAAAAAACCTATGAGCATCACATAGCCCATGCTGGTCCCCAATGTGGCGCATGTCCACTTCCGAAGTGTCTCAAAGCGAAAGTGACCTGTACTTATATGTGTTGATATAGGTTAACCTGATTCTTCTATGAATATCTCCATTGTCCGTTAATATTTACGGTACCGTATATGGGAGTGGTAGGGAGAGGTAGGTCTACACATATATCACTCCACGAACCGTTGGTCCTAGACTTGACCTCTGGTTCTTCATCATAGTGATCTGAAAAGAAAACGCACTGAAAGGGGAGACGATCCCGACGTCTGCTGTTCATCGATTTCTATTTCTTCTCCCCTTTCATCCTACTCCTCCTTCTTTTGCATTTGTGCATAGTTCGGTCTCGTTCTTGCTTACATGTCTCAGATATTCAGTGGCGGTTGATGAACCAGTCTGCCTGATGTGATTGAAGGTGAGCGGAGGTGTTGAAAGTCTACGGAGCCGATTGGCAGCCTTGGAGCGGTCAGAAGAGGAGTTGCTCCGGGGGATCCAGGCAAAAGAGGAAGAACTCCGGGGGAAACAGGAGGAAGTGGAAGACTTGCGGAGAAGAGTAGCTGCACTCGAGAATCGACTTCGCAACGAAGGACGGGACATGAAAGAACAAAACGAACTCATGGAATTCCGAGTCCTCGAACTGGAAGCATGGTACCAACAGGTGAGATTCTTGGAGCGATGGACTCGAAGTCCCCAACAAGGACTCTGGCATCTCGAGATACTAAACGAGATTTCTCCTTGCGTGTCGCTTCAGCATCAAAATGGATTGGCGGAAGCACGACGCGATTGGCTCAATTTCAAGTTGATTTCGTCGGGTGAAATGGGAACGAGTCACGGTACCAGGGTCGAGGACGAGGAAGAATGGGAAATGTGGAAAGAGGCCATGCAAGTGAGTCCCTTTTCTCTGCATCGCTCCGAAGGGACTCCGAGATGGCAGCCAGTAATTGCCGACAACGACCGAGACGTGAAGATCGCGACTGGAGTCGTTTGACTGGAACCGAAATATGCATGGAAACCCTCAGGGTTTAATGAGAGGACGTTCTTTGTCCCGAAGGCGTTAAGAGTTTTCCAAGATCCGGATCCGGTCTCCCATTCGTTGCACTCGCTGTTCCGCTAGGTTTCACCGTAATTACCGAGAAATGCTACTCAATGCACCCTAGGGAATACCCTTCCCCCCTCTCATGTCCAGCATCCACTTTCAAGTTGAGACCATAGCGTAAATGTAAGATTAATTTAGGGAGGCAGGAACAGGATACGATCGGAGAAGCATCAAAGTGAAAATATTTGAACGCGAAGATACATCTAGATTTCCATTGCCGGTGAAAGTTGTACGTAGCTGGTCCTGTATGAGTGTCACTCTACTGATATGGAGTGTAAGTCCATGGAATAGAGGTCATATAGATGTCCCATGATCCTATGGTCCCGTAATGGTCCTATAGAGATGTCGGTCACGGTATGGTCTCCAATTTCACGCTTTCTTCTCTAATCTGGTCATTATCTGCTTCCAAACAAATTCGATTACTTGAATTCGTTCGCATCGAGCACCCTGCTTTAATATCATTCCTCACTTGTAAAAAAAATGTATTCTAAGTCAGCAAGGATGAACAAGGTATCATTGTCGCAATTATTTCATATACGCATGTATGATATAATACCTGGAAATGAAAGCAGTATGAACCACAGATGGGATGTCTTGTTTATTTTTAAGGCACTCCGCAAAATGAAAAGTCTCAAACGGGACATTGTTTGAGCATTAGCACAACCACAACCAGTGTGAAACAGAAGGAGGAATTTCACACGCTTGAAGAACACCAATAAGGATGACGCATACGAGTAAAGGCGAGAACGAGAGAAAACTTACTGAAGGGTACACGAAATCCCCCGTCTGGCTGAGCCATCTAGCCTTAATGCACTGTGTACATAGAATGCAGAACATTGGAATTCGGATGCGTTGTCGCACCATTTATAAACTGGCATACAAAACTTCATCCTCGATTGATGGGGGTTTTGCCTGATGGCAACTGTAGATACGACAAACAATACTGGCTCCACCACTGGTTGAATGAAGGGCGTTCCTTTGCCGTGAGGGATTTAACGTTGGAAGATCGGATCCAACGGTTCTGGGAAGAGTCTACTGTTTGCATTTTCACTCCCCGGCTTCAGATGAACATTGAGGGCTTGCTGGATAGGAAAAAAAGGACAGCGAAGCCATTTTATTATCTTACTAAAGCCTGTTGTAGATAGATTTTTCCTCTCATGTAGGATCGACTCGAAGTTCTTCCTCGTGATCCTCTCTCTTCCCCAGAGGCGTCTTCATTCTTCATAAAGTGATCTAATTCTGATCCCCCCAGGTGTCTGCCTGTGCATGCGATCAGCATGATGGTTCGTCTTTCTCCTCCTCCCTCTATTCTCTTCCCCCACCGGAGATGTGCATCATATGCCCGCCAAGGTCTCTCCTTCGTATGGGCGGGTTTACACGCGAGTGTCTTCAAATAAAGGGTAGTCTCATGCCAGCTCGTTCCCATAGACGATGATTGTCTGCAGCGAGGGCTTACTTCCGCAAAATAGAGTTCTCTGTCTACATACGAGTGCATATCACTGGGTTGCACCCTCATGCGAGCAGCTTTCATGAATGTATACTTGCGTGTCTAAACCGTCCTAGTTGAACGAAAACGTAGCAACACATTGGTGTTGCTACGTTTCCTTTCCTTTTGCTTCTTTTGGACTTCTGCCATGTCGCTCCTGCCACTGCACGTTGTCTAAACCTCGAGGCAATGATTCTGTTGCGTCTGTATAACGGATATGGAAATGACACTCTACAAGCTCTCGAATGGCCTTTTCATGATACCAGTTATTATTATGTAGTATCAAAGAATGTAGAGTCGCGTTGATATGCCGAGGAGTCGAGAATTCAGAACCGGTCCAGTTTTTTTTTTCAACCTCTCCCACTCCCTTTTCCGGTGTCGTGTCACGCCGTTGTGAATTGAAAGCATGGAATGCCGTGGAACAGGAGTTCTATGGGATTGTCCCCGAGGCAGAAGGGAAACAGACCTGAATTGATTCATTCTGAAGCGTGTAGTTCGCATTCAATTGCGTAGGATCTCAGATTCAAACTCGTTTTTCTTCCTGGTCTTCCTGGCAGTTCGTTGTTCTTACTGGCTGCTACGCCCTATCTACGCTCTGTCGTAGGTTCGGCCACTCTACCTAATTAATCCGCCCGCCCGAAATAGAGGAGAAATAATTGAAAAGGCGTCTCTTGTAAAGGAGGCGTCATTGATTATGATGATGATGGGAACTGGCCTCGTTTCTTTGGGCTATATTGGCGGGTCCGGAAGAGAAAAGCGGTTAGCGTGAACTGATGCCGATTTTTCACAAGAAATTTCGGTCAATCACAGCGTGGGATTGACCGAAAAAGGTTGAGAAGAGAAGGATTTGGCTTCCTGTCCAGATGAGATGATGTATCTGCGTGGGTTTTTTTTCTTTCTCTTTCCCCTCGCTCTGACTCAGCCGTGAGCCGCGGCGAACGATGAAGCTTCGTCCTTCCTTCAGTCTCTCTCGGTTCTCTCGCTCGGTCGCACTATCGCTCTCGGGTATCGTCCGTCTGCCGTTAGTTCTTCCGACTTCGGTGACTCTTTTTCCACGTATGAGTGTGAAAAGTGGTCAACGAGGCTGATCGTCAAGATGAAAGCGAAAGAAAGCCAGGGACCTTCGCAACCATGGATCGTGCTACCTCAAGAGAATATCCGCCAGGAATGGAAGCTCGTCAGGAAGGTACGAAAATCCTATTATCCCCAATATGGGCATAGGCCACCACCTACAAGACCTAGAGAAGGATCTGTCAATTTAATAGGATTGCTCATGTAGTCAATGCTATGAGACACCGAATTGCTTTCCTATTTCGCACCAATTCGACATTGAACAATTGAATTTTGAAGCATACCAGATGGAGATTCTCTACGGGGTCCCTATCGCTCCATACGGATTCAAGGGGGTCCTTTGATGCGTCAATGTCAATGGATTCTATAGCCCTCGAAACGTCAATGCGCATGCCTATCTGCGACATACCCGAGGATGACGAGGGTATCATCTGTTAAAGGCTGTAAGGTCTGCTCACTCTCCAGAACGTCTACGTTGTAACTTCCAAGGAAAAGGAACAGTTTCATTTCTCAACAAGAACAGCGCAACCCCTTTGTTTACAAATACGGGGTTTCATCTCTCGCCTTTACAGAAAGGCAAGGTCGAATTACCATTTTGACAGCGCTGTTGATGACTCTGACAGATGGCAAATGAAGTTTCTCTGTGGCTTTTTCCCTTTCCGGGGCTATTTGCCTTCCATGGAGGAGCAAATTGGAATTGCAGCGTGGATGGCCATGCACGACGGCATTACTATTGCGATGACGATTATTCTCAGGGGCACTGTCTGGAAAACACTTCCCCAACTGGCACCACGATAAGGATCTTCTATGGGGACCGATGATATTCATAAGCGAGTCGATATAGTCTTGGGGTGCAGTCCAAGGAAGTCCTTCAATCATTTACATGAATTGATACTGATTCCTTCGTGGCCTTTCGAATCGACATGATATTCCCATTTCAATATTTTCACTGATTACTACCGTATCAAGTAAACCCCGAAATTCTCGGGAAATGAATCCAAAACGAATTAATTCATCTCATTGATGCAAACAAACCACTACACTTCCTCTCTCATCCAACGATAGCCAAGCAACGATGGTGCAAGGAAGAAGGTAAAACTTCGTTGCCGATTGCCGACCTGCAGCACATAAACATTCCACATCTCTTCATAGATGCGAGAAGTAAGAAAAAGAAAGCTCGATAGTTAACTCATGGCGGCCCGTTTGTTTGACGCTTCTTCTACTATTGCTTGGCAGTGATTTCCTTATGAGACTTGGCATTCACTTCTTGGTATTGCCTGCCAGGATCCTCTTTTGTAGTTATTTTCTGGGAAGAAGGAGATATGATTTCGCATGTAGGTAGAAAAATGCTTGATGGGATTTCTCATCTTACTCTAAGATCCCAAAAATGACAGTAAACTGAATAATCATTTACAGATATTGTAAATCTAACAAAATGCAATGTTACAAGGCTCACTGCAGGGGCAAAAAGAGATGCATATTGTTTTTGTAGATGCTGAAGTTGAAACTCGTGCACTGACCGTAACATTCACAAAACAAGATAGTTCAAAACCCAAATTGCTTTTGGTAGGTTGTGCAGTGCCACTAACGATGTGTTACAACGTTGTTCACTATACTCTGTAGGCTCGCTCTGCATATTAGTGCTGATTTGTAATAGTGGAGATTTCTTCTCTTCCAGGAAGTTATTTTCGCCAATACGGGGCGTGTCGGTAGTCGTCCTATATCAGGAATTATTGCGCAAGAACTAAGATAGTTTCTCATGAATGTTTCATGAGAAGGTCCAACACCTTTCATGGGAACGTTGAATACCGGTGGTGTACGGGAATGGACAATGGGTCATATAGCTTCATGGAAGTGAAGAACTTGTTGCCTGATTGACGCAGTCGGGATCCTTATGACGAAATGTCCCCAAGGCACAAGTCATCAGGTGTCGAAATCCGCGTACATTTGTTTGTCACACGACCTACTGTAAAAGGGTGCGAGCCCCGAGAGACCTTGATTCTTTGCCGAGCTCATTAGCAATGAATGCGAGAATACTTGGGTGGGAAATAGGAGCCCTAACTTGCTGCGTATTATGGACGTAAATGGTGTCGCTTTGACAGCCTCACTGTCTCTGAACTTGAGACAAGGATTGATTGCATTTGTCACAGACACGACCCATAAAAGGTAGCTCCTCCGCCCGTATAGTATCTTCGAATCCTGTTATCCCCAATGTCGACAGAAAATGTTCCTGGAGAACCTGAATTCACACTTTGCACGTCTACGAAGACCTGTAGAGGTACCGGTAATCGTTTATTTGGCGTCCCTTCACGGACACTAGAGTCCACCCACGCGACTCGGGGGTTTGATTCATTCTCTGTATTAAGAGAATTAATCACGAAGCGAGTGAGGCAATTTACGCTCTGTCCATGCCGCTAAGGTGGAAATGAAAGAGGCTTGGCGCAGTGGGGAGTTTTGAGTATTTCAACGGGGTGGATATCCCCTGCATCTCCTCATCCATCACCATGAAGGTAATGAATTGGTTTCCACAGGCACTATATGAGGAAGTTCGGAATAGGAAACATCTGAGCATGGGCATACCATGGCCACAGGTGGGGGAAATGATTTTTTGCACCGCAAGGGAATTTCGAGGGCAACACGGAGGGAAGTTTCGTTTGGTCGAATCATCCTAAGGTCCGCAGAGTTTATGCTGTGGAAGAGTTAAAAATAGTAGCATGCATCCCACCCAGAACGAACTGGGAAGCATTGATGAAGGTTTCCTGTATACAAAGTAGGAAGTGAAGGTATTCTTCTACGCCTTCCCCCTCCCCCCTCCCCCCACCCACTCCTTCTTTCTATCTGTGTTATATGATGAAAGAAATGAGGAAGTGAAAGGGGGGCAAGGGGACAAAAATGTAAAAAGATGGAGTGGGACTAAGGTGAAGGATTGGGGCAAGTTGGACTTTTTCCAACCAAATGCCCCACCCTCATGGCCCTTCCTCAAAGAAGGACACTCGAGTAACGAGTACCCCCTGTATCCGGTTCGAATTGCTTAAAGATAATTCAATTCCTATTGTTTTTTTCCGACGGAGCATATGCTAGTATTTGCTATCTCCTTCCTTGGTTGCATGGCGAATGATGACAAATGAGATGCCTTATGAAAGAAGAGCTCTCTTCTCCACCTCCATGGTTGAATGAAAAAGAAATTCGCCCCCTTGATAACCATGGCCAGGAGGAGGCTCGGATGATAGCTTATTTGCCTTCATAGCAGGCACGACTGATCGGCTCTTGACCCCTGGAAGAAGAGTGCAGGCGCTCATCTATGTCTTTTCCTTTCCTCCCCTTCTTCCTTCGAGATACCGAAGGCAGTTGCGATTAATTTATCCTTGGCACTCCTGGCACTCACAAGCATAATTACTTCTGGATTCTCGAGATAGGATAAGAAACATCCATTCCCGGATGAGGCTGGCCGAATCTGGAAAGACAGGGCGAAGGAGGTAGAAAAAAATGGAAGGCCAGGGCGAATTTTTCTCCCCTCTCTCCTCCCACGCAGTCTCTTTCTTCCTACCCACGGGGCTATGCATCACCTGCAGTGTCAAGGTCGTGTCCATGTCATCATTATCTTCATAATACTCTTTTTGCATCCTCGTATTTTTCTCCCCCTGTCTTCCGGTCACTCACTATGCGTGGAAATATCTTCGGAGGTCATTTCAGTTGAATAGGCGCTGATTTCGAAAGAAGCCATTATATGCGTAAGTTTATATTGTGGTTGGCTTGTACTACTTCTCCGAATCTTCATCCATATTCAACCTGAATCCGGAAAGAAGGACAACAGGTAGAAAAAGAAAGGGATCACCAGTAGCATGTAGGGGAAGGGAGACGGGGTGTATTTCTTCGAGGAGTTCTTTAGTCGTCTAGGTTGGTTCCTGTAGTTCATTTGATTTTGCCGGGAAGCGCGATGAAATCTAGTGTCATGCGATTGTATGACAAGAGATCACAGTGCGTCTGTATTTTGTGGTAACGGTAACGATAATAACTGTTCATCTTGTTGCCAGCTAACTTCATGACCGTGGGCAGAGATGTTCTGCTTGGCTTAATCTGTGTACATATCCACTCTTCCTTCGTGTAATGTTTGAACTGAAGAAGCATCTCTTACTTCAGCGTTAAAAGCTTTGAGTCACGAAGTTGCTCAGCAAGTCTCAAGTGTTTCGTGCAATAGTTGAATGCAGGAGATTGAAGGAAGGGATCAATACTGTTAATTGTTTCAGCACATGGACGATCTGGTGCGGAATTTGACGGCAAATCGTCAGTTGGTCGGAGAGCTGCAGAAGGAAAATGTGCGTCTCCAAGAGCAATTGTCCCTGTTGGAAAGCCAGAAACCAGGGGAAGAAGGCGTGGAGGGGAATGGCTGCATCATGAAACTGGCAGGATGCAAGCGCTGCGATCCCGTCTTCCCCGAATGCCAGTGCGGCGAGAACCGACCAGCCGGGGACGGAAGTTTCCAGGAGAGTGGCATCTTCGATGGGGGAAGCGATGTGGTCAGTGAAGCAGCCACTCAAACAGAGGATATGGTCGACATCACCGACGGCCAGGGAACTCTCGCGGAGGAAATCACCAAGCTTCTCCAGTTCAAAGACAGCATGGAACAGGAGCTGGTCGACGCTGGCCTGAGGAAGAAATCTCAGAGCGAAGGTGAGGAAGATTCTCCAGGGGAAGTCGAGATTCTTCGCCGAGAACTGCAAGGCATGACGAGGAAGGTGAAGGCCATCGAGGAAGCCCGTGCCGAGTTGGAGGAAGCTGAAAATGACGCCCGACTTCGCGTTCAAAGGTAGGTATCATCTTGACATGCATTACTTTCTTTTTCTGCCGTCTTTGCTCCAGATTCATGGTGAACAGAGCCATTCTTTGAAGCCTCCGCCGTTTTTTAAGTTGTTTATGCCGGTTACGAAATTACTTCCATTAATTCGTATTTCATGCTCCCCTTTGTCATCATTCAGTGGGGTTATTTCGAAAGGCACTTGCTGCCATATTCATTAGGGGATTGACCATCACAAGAATCATCACGATTGATTGGCATGGGCGAAGCATAAGAGAATTGGAATGACTTGCAACCTACGCGTCGCCATGTAAGGAAAGTAGCAGCAGCGAGAAAAAATGAAAGCGTCCTCCAAATCTCTAACGACTTGAGGCTGGTTGGAGGCGTAATGAGCGACTTCGCATCCACTCAATAATGTCACCGTCGACACATTGGCGCGAGAAAATGGTCAAGGTCATCTCGCTAATGAATTAAGGGATTTTCAGATTAGATGCGCCCACGCAATTCTTGCACGTCGGGGTAAGGTTCTGCGTTCACCCCGCATGCTCGCATAGTTGGTCTCGTATAGCTGGATTGGTACTGTAATCCGGGAGACGTGCCATAGAAACGGGAACGTGCAAACCTTTGTGTCGTTCTGTTTGAGTAGCCCCGTTCGTGATATTGCTCGCCATTCCGGCCGAATCACGTACATTCCACTGTCGGTCGTGTGTTCTGTGTCTGTGGCGGAGGCAAACGGAGATCTATGCGGAAACGAGCGGTTCGACGTACATAAGAAAAGGGAAAAAAAGGGAGAAAAAGAAAAAAAAAGAAAACATACTGTACAGCATGAGAAACGAGGTCGGTGAACGATTCACGTGACGATTGCTGCAAATCCCTTCCCGGTACGTGCACAAGTCACACACATCGGACTTGAACTTCACAGTTCTGATTGACTACCCTTTTCCCCCATCATTTGTTCCCCACTCGATATCGTGGAGGTTATTGGGAATAGAAGGCATTTTCTTCCCTCGAGGTAAAGACGCATTCGATATATGGATGAGTGATTCGCTTCACGGAAAGAGTGAGTGCGTGCAACGACCCAGTTTAACTCGAGCCTCTTCGGTTCTTTACTTTTTTCTCCTTCAACTCCCCTCCCTCCCATTTTTCTTTTTCTTGCCGTGCATTCTGGCATTCCGTGTACAGGAGGAAGTTTCAGTAGACTGAATTCTCCTGCTAGGCTATATGCGTACTTGAACGTAGTCACGCGATATCCTATTTCGATATCCGATATCCTATTTCGATATCCGATATCCTATGTGAGGCTATTCAATTCATTGTGTCCGAGCGATGGGCTTCCTCCATCCATCCTTGGTTTAAGGGTCTTCTTGTGAAGCACGTTCTTCTGACAGCATCATAAGGTGATATAATTTTGGATAAAGTGTGTTGAAAAATCTAAAGATTTAAAAAAAATTTTTAATTGTAGCCTGGAGTGGGAGCTATCTTCAGCGGCTCACCTCGAGAAATTGCTCCGGGAAGACTTGGCTCATCAGCAGGGGTCTCTGAGGCAGGTCAACGAAGAGCTGAGACAGTTACAAGAGAAACATCAAATCCAATGCTCTCGCCTCGAGCAGGAGATACGAGTCCTTCGTGAAGGACATTCTGCAGTTGGAAGGAAGGACGCGGAATGCCAGACGGCATCCGGACAGGAATTGGAACTTGAAGTCGATCGAGGGAAGAATAGAGAGGAATCGAGGTCGAGAGAGGACTCGATTCTTTCCGGAGATCCATTAGAGCGAATGGAAAAGCTGGTTAACATGGGAAAGCGAGAATCGGCCTTCACTAAAGAGAACCTCCCCCCCTCAGAGCTCTCTTATTATATGGAACACATCAAGGCGCTGGAATCGGAAAGAAAGAATCTCCGCGTTGCCATCGAAGCGGAAAGGGAATCTGGAGCTCAGAAGCATCGGGAATTGGCCGAGAAATGCCAAGAATACGAGACGCAGATCGCGGGGCTTCTTGCAGCCACGGCACAATTGGATGTCGAGAAAGCCGGCTTTAAGGCACAACTCGACCAGCTGCATGTGGAGAAGAGGGAGCTGGACGAGAAAGTGAGGACTCTCCTGGATAAGAACGAGCAGGAAGGGCTCCGAGCGTCCTTGCTCAGCGCCCTCGGTGCCGGAGAACACCTTCAACATCTCTCCGTGAATGACTTGTTGGAAAGAGTACGAGATATGGCCGACAAGTTAGTCAGTCTCAGAGAGGTCAAGGCCGAGTTGGAAAACAAGGAAAGTGCCTACAAGGAGACGCTGCAAGAGGCGGACAAGATCGTGGCCGATGTCGAGAAGAGATATCAAGATAAGATCCGAGAAATGGAGGCGCAGGAAGCGAAAACGAGTGCCAGGCTGAAGAACATGCAGGAGAACGAAGCCCTTCTTCAGAAGATGCTGAAATCCCTGAACTCCGGGAGCGGAGGAGGAAACGGGCATTTGAGTCAAGTGACGGAACTATTACAGAAACTCATCGAAGTGGAAAATGGGAACATGGCAATGAAGGAGAAGATTTTGGACCTAGAACGCGTGGACCGAAACAAGACCATGCAGCTAATGGAGAAGGAACAAACCATGAGGGAGTTGAAGCAGGAGATCTCGGAGCAAGAAGAACTCTTCAGTCGCATTTCCCATCTCCAGCAGGAGAACCTGGAACTCCAGGCCGACCATTCTGCTGTGTTGCCCCTCAGAAAGCAGGTGGGTCGCTTAAACTCGAAGCATTGAATGCCGTGGTGTTTTCGCCAAACACAGGGTGACACAATTTTGCGCCCTTAGCACCATCAATTTATGAGAGGAACTCAGTATTTGCCAATGGCCTCACAAATAATGATTATCTTCAATCAGTATAGGAATGAATACGATCATAGTCCCAAGAATAGCAGTGACTGTGTGAATAGAAGTGGCTGTGTAACCATAGCCACTAGATGCAGAAAAACTAAAGCGGTTATGGTTCATTTACTGTACGTGGCCGCGGTGTGACTTTCATTGGCTTCTCTGCAGTCTTGAGTTGCGCTACTGAAGTGGAAAGATGAGCTAGATCTTTTCAAGTACCTCGTTCAGTTGGAATTCTTTTCAGAGCACCTTTGAGCTGGCAAAGTTGCTCATTGTGGTCAGGTCACGCACATCGTAAGCGTAGCGTGAAAAGAAAAAGTGGCGGGGCACTGGGACTCCAAGATAATGTTATGCATTTTTTGCATATTTTCCTTTTCCTTTTTTTCTAAAGTGTGTGTGTGTGTGTGTGTGCGGGTGTGTGCGGGGGGGGGGGGGGGTAGTGTCCCCTCGGGCTTCCCCGACGCCACAACACTGAAGCTCATTGCAGGATAACTTGGCTATAGTCTGGAAACGGGGGAGGGAGACTACTTCTGGCCAGGACTGTAGAGTTCATTAAAAATAAATATCGAACTAACAAGGACCCAGGGCAAGCGCTAGTTGTTTATTCTACATTTTGATGAAGGCATGGGAGAGGAATAATAATATGATTTGCCCACAGCGAGTAACATCCCCGTCAATGCATGACGATGATCGCATCTCCCATAGATCCACGAATTGAGAGAAGCGAATGGTGTACTACGTGGCCGGGTGGAAGATTTGGAGGAAAGCGAGCGCTCTCTTCAGCAGACTGTGGAGCAGGCAACAAACTTATTGAAGGCTAAAGAAGTCCGCCATCAAAGTCAAACTGGAAGTCTCCGGGATGAACTGACGCAAGTGAAGGGGGAGCTCCAGGAAGCGCGGTCTTCGGAGGAACGGCTCCGGAATGAGATTCATTTATTGCGGGTGGAAATCTCCTCCCTCAAAGAGGAACTGAGCAAGAATACGGAGAATCTGAACGGGATATACAGTTCTCACCGAGTCGAGGTCTCCCGGCTCCGACACCAGTTGAACCTGGTTAACTCTCAGCTGGAGCAGGCGGATTCTTTCCACGGTAGCCTTCAGTTGGAAAAGGAAAACTTGAGTGCCATGGTGGAGAAGCAGCGGGGAGATATCCAGGCCCTTCAGGCTCAATATGAACGAGGACTCTTAGAATTCAATCTCAAAGTTGCGGACAAGGAAGAGGAGATCGAGGCACTCCAGCGGCAGCTGAGGGAATTGCAAGGGAAGACGGCCGCGGCTGATTTGGATGCGCTCGCCTTGAAAGAGAATACTCTCTCTTCAATGTGGAACAATGTCCACGCCTTGCATGCCGTTGTAAAGGTACATTTTATCCTGGATCACCTTTGACGACTATGGGTGACATGCACCAGATCCGTTTAACTTTAAACTGATTCGTTTTCATAATGGGTGCTTATGAGAATAAGTTTATCTCTATTAAACTGATTCCCATAGGGGACCATTGTGAAATCAGATTAGTTTAGCTTAAACGGATCCGGTGTATGTCACCCTAAGTCTACCCTGCCAGTTGTCAAAACTTAATTCTCTTTTCGTTTAGGTTTGTGGTTCATGTCGAGGCCGTGCAGTAACGCTCACAAGTCACCTGCGTGACGATGTCAGTGGAATTTGTCGCATCATCATGGGAGACGATTTACCAGTTCCTGATGAGGTCAGTCCCAGGGACTGGGATTTCCTTTGCCATCCATTTCTCTATTCATTGAGGGATTTTTTTCCTACTTATTATCACCGATATTATTTTATAGATAAAGCTGATGCCAGCAATGCAAGAGGCACAAGTGGCAGAAGAGAATCAAGTAACACCTGAGCGCGACCGAGCTGAGGTTCATAGACTCGAACGTCAGCTTGCCCTGTCTGAGAACGAGGGGAATGTGATTGCCGAGCAGTTGGCAAAGGCGGAAACTACTCTTCTTGAAAAGGTTGCAAACTGACCATATCTGTTCTTCAAGCCATGTTTGACATTGCACGATGAATCTGAATTTTTCATAGACACAGGCATTGGAAGCAAGCCAAGGTGCAGTGGAACACATGAGGCAGCGAAACTTCCAGCTTCACTGTGAAGTAGAAAAGCTACGATTGCGGGAGAGCGAACTGATCCAACAGATTGAACAGGTTCCATACCCAGTTTTTATTTTCTTAGTTGTAGTAAATGTCAACAGTTTTAAAATAAGGAAGGAAAAAAAAAACAAAAAGCATGATACAGTTGGGGCTTTATTTTTTCCGCTGTACAGGCAAATATGGAGAAGGAAAGGGCCCTGACATGCCTGGCATGGAAATTCCAGGCTCCCTCCCCACATTCGGGTTTGAGGCATCCATCTTGCGAGAAAAAAACCAAACTGGCGAAAAGGCACACCATTGATATTCCAGTCGATCCAGTTGAGAGTGAGAGGGTAGGTAACTAGTTAGTGGTGTTCTCATAGTTAATTGTGCAAGATCCGTGATGTTATAAGTTTTGCACTTTTCCACGCTAGGAAGGGAGGTTGTCTTCATCCTTTTTGGATGAAAGTCCATTGAGAGAGAGTTTAGAAGAGAATCATGCTAATGAGAGATCCCTTAACCCCCCAACTGATTTCTGCATCACTCGAAGAGTTGGAACAGATGGCCTCCTTGTGGCTTGGCAGCCTCCTGTTGACACACTGGTCGCTGGATATCATGTATGTAGTTTTTGCTTCCCTAATCCGTACATTTGGTCTCCTGAAAGGATATTGTTTCAGAGATGGCATATTCCTTTTCCTAGTTATATGTAGGAGGGAATTTCCATCATCACGTCAGGAGCCCTCATCGTACCAAAGCCCTATTGAATGGCCTCCACCTTGTTCCTGGCCTGACTGTATCCATCAGAACCTTGGACAGTGAGGGACGCTTGTCAGTACCAGCCACAACAACCCTGTTTTCCCCAGCAGGGCCTGAGGGTCCTTCTAAAACAGAGGGGGAACTCTCACTTGGACCTGGAACAAAATATGTCTTCAGTGCAGCTCCCATTGTGACCAGTGAGTCTCTGTGTTAACGAGATTCGATTCACGCTTATTTTTATGTTTGTCATCTTCATGCCATAAGTGGCACATTTCTTCAAGTACCAGTGAGTGAAATGATGTGCAAGTGACTTCTTTGATTCAAGTGGGAGTTTTCTCTCATGAAATCCATGTTGTTTTAGAGAAAACTGTGATGTGCTTTTTCTTCCCAGTTGGTCATATTTTACCTTTATCTTTGTTGTTCTAAGTGAATTGGAAGTACTTATTTCACCCCAATAGATTTTTGGCCTTTTTTTAAAATCAATTCATGAATAGAAATTTCAAAGGCACAGACTTAGTCTTCATTCTTCGCCAGTGTTTTAATGTACTGACGTGTCAGAAAGGTCTTCGTTTCTACTTGTCACAATGAACTGCTTCAGTACTGTCATTGCTTATCATTTTCCATCTCAGGTAGACCTAATATGATATATTCTACCTTCATGGGGGGGATGCTGAAGCCTTGACATTTAATCCCCTGCCAACTGTTTCTCTCCTGTTGATGAAAGAAAAAAATACCAATGGATTAATTGTTGTGATAACTATAGTTGGATAACTATGTGGATCAATATGGAGAACTGTATTTGCATTAGAGGGGTGATCAATAAGTTCCAGGACTGGTTCTGTGACTCATTCATTCTTTAATACACAGATGGCACTTCTAGCAATTATCTTGTGTTGAGTCTTCAAGAACATGGGCAAAAGTTCTTGCTTATTGGTTTCACTTAGTTTCTTTGAGAATTTACATAGAATGGACTTTTGGCAAAAGTGAATGAGGAATTTTTAAAACCACCTTCAGCATTTCAAGTGCTGTTAATTTTGCATGAAAGTGGGAAAATGTGCAATGCCCCAGGAACCTTCAAGTTATGGAAATATTTAGTAGAAAACAAGATTTTTAATGGGGGTAACCCAAGATTAGGGCAGCCATTCACATCAGCTGCAGAGTGGAACCTGATGGAACTGCCTGAGCATCACCTTTGGATGAATCCAAGTTCGCAGAGCTCATGAATTGCTACTTTCTGAACTCAAGGATTTTTTGCAATTTCCCTCCATCCTTAACCCAACTTAATGACCAGCCTTGGGTTATCTCTGATAATCTGCCTTTTTTTAAAAACATTTTTTGCTTGCTGAACATTATCCAGCAGTTTGGAGAATTGCTTCATAAGTTAAAAGTAGCAGCATGCAATATACTAAATTTTCTCAGGCTCATTTCTGTAATTTCACAAAGGAATACGTGTATAATGTGATAAATTTCCAATTTGGTGTAGTCAGATTCCTAACTTATTTTTGCCTAGCAAGTCAGAGTCCATTTAAAAAAAAGTTGTTTTTAACCGAAAGAAAACCAATAGGCAAGAAGTTTTGTTCATTCACCCCCATGGCCACTCAAGAAACTTATAATATGTGACATCTGCACATCAAAGAATAAAGGAATTACAGATTCAGTCCCTGAAATTTTATCATCACCTCATTGGTGAATGATGTGGTATAGACATGCAAGGATACAGTTGTACACAGCTGAATAGCCAAGGAACACCGCACTTCCTTTTTTTAAGACCGAAACTTTTATTTGAAAACATGGCAAGAAAGATAACTGATAAAGTAGACAACTCATAGCTCTCTCAGAGATCAATATAGCAGGGGTCAATAAGTACCGGTAATGAGAGCTCAGCACCAAATGTGGATTGATAATAATTGTATGAGATCAGCCTGTACATATACATGACATGTACTAGAACACACAACCATGAGATCACACTAAGTTTGCAAGGATCTATGTTGATCATAAGTCAAGGTGGCAAGTAATCCATAGGAGCAAAGGAGGAAAGAGCAGGAATGTGGCAACGGCATGGGGTTGCAGCAAATCTCAGTGGCAATGTGATACACCTGAAAACAAAGAAAATGGAATATCCTAGATAAGCAACAGAGTCCAGGAATTGCACATATACTTTCAAAATTTTACAATTTCCTGTGCAGGCATCTGTCAGCAGTCAAACATGGTATAGTCTATCCAGTCCAACTTTGCAACACAGGCAATGCCTGTTTCATGGTAGCTCATTAATTTTGTGCTGTCATCAGCCAGTCAAAATGTCAGAAAGGGGCTCGAGGCTATCAGTGGCAGACCAAGGTGTTCCTGGCACTCCTCAGGCATCTTATCAAGATTTCTAAAATAATCTTTCATACATGATGCCCCCCCCCCCCCCTCCCGATGAATCAATACCACACACTTCTTGTTTTACACGATTAGCCAAATTTTCCTTTCAAAAATTTTTAAAATAATCTTTCAAACATGATCCCCCCCCCCCCCCCCCTCAGGAGCATCACATCAGTGTCAGGTGGAGGAATTAGAGGAAAATCATCTTCTACCCTCAGGGGAGAGGAAGATGGATGGCATTTAATAACTCCTTTGAGGATTAAAAGTGTGGCAAGATTGAACTGGATAGACTATGCCCTGGTAGAAGGAGGATGAAGCTTTTTTGAGCAGCAGTTCATTTGTCATTTTAATTTGAATGGAGTCATACAATGCAAAGAAAAGGAAGCTAGGAAAAGGAAATTTGCTCATTTGGGATAGGAGGAATTTGATGCGATAGTCAACTCAAAGTGATATTCTACTTGGTTCCTGACTAAATTCCAAATGCTCCTGATATGTGTGTATACAGGGTATGGCAAAAAAAAAAGACCAACAACTTTCAACCTAAATAACTTCCCTCCTAATAGAGTTATTTTTGTGAAACTTTCACATTACATATGTGAGAATGTTTTCAACTAATACATAAAATTTCACCCAAATTTGTTGTGCTGAAGCAATTCTATCAGCAATTATTGAAAAGAAGTTAGACATTGAGAATGGACAAGAGCTCCAGCTGGTAGTGGAGTGGAGGGTGCACTCAAGCCCTGCCCCTAGGAGGTGGCAAAGCAGTTAGGTTGGTGCTTGAGAGTTCAGAAAAAATTCAAGTTTTGTGGTGCATACCCCCAGAGCAGAGCTTTTGGCTGTGTCGGCTTTTCCAAAGATATTTTTGCACTAGCAAAAAGAGCAAACAGATAAGGCAAAAACTTGGTATGCACATAGTTCTCTGAGTACTGATTTTAGCAAAAATGTTGATTTTTAGGTAAAACCTTTGAGTGCATATTTTTTGCAAAAGGTGCTTTTTCTGGAAACTTTTCTGATTAAATGAAGGAGATTACTAAAGAAAGTTGAAACTTGGAGCAGAAGAACCAGTTCAATTGCGGAGTACATGTCCTACATTTCAAATATGACCCATCAGGGCAGATTATGAAGAGATTTGAAGTTACGCACACAAGAAACAATGGGAGTAATTATTCTGATGAAAATATTGGTTTGTTCTCTCTCAATACACATTCTGACAGGCACATACTTTTAATACGTCTTTCCCACTTTGAAAATAAATTATTGAATGAATCACTATCCTGAGAATGGAGCGTTGAAGGCACGATAGTTTAAAATATAGCACACTGTCACCAATGAAGAAAAGAACCAATATTCACCTGAAGATAGCTCTTCCCTCAGAGGATCCCATTCTGAAACTTCTTCTGTATTGGAGAATCTCCTCGGAGTTCCAGGGAGACTTCTATGTTTCTCTCCTGGAAAGAAAAAGTAACATGATACTGAAAAACAAAGTCAGAAATGAGAGGCTTCAAGAAGAGTGACACTGATTTGCCATTCTAAAATGAGAACACAAAACATCAAAGGAAGAAGAACACAAATTAAAATTTAAATTATCTTCATCCTCACCAATCTCAGCGAATGCCACACTGGTGCAAGAATCTGACATGCATGGTCCAGCACTGAGACACCTCTCCACCCGCAGACAGTGCTCCTTGAGAGGGCTCACCTATTTTCAAGACCCATAGGCTTAGAACAGGTGCCATTAGATAGCCTTTTTACAATGGTAATGAATCTCCCATTTATGGTCCAGTGGCTATAACACTGCAAAGCATTTATTTTGCAGCTCACTACCAGCACTTGATCTCTTATGAATGGGTTTTATGATTCTATTCAAGCTGCACCAATGCAATCTAAGGGCTATGGCATGAACTACAACTGATGATTAGCTGACCTGTGGGAATACAAAACTCTGTGCCTGGGGTCCACGAGCAAGCACAGGCGGAGGACTCCTCACCAAATATCGATGTACATCTTCACAACTCAGGAGAATCTCCTCTTGGGATCGACCCGAGAGACAATCCTCCATGAGAAAACATGGAAGTTATTACAACGAAAGCTTCACCACAACTGCCTTATTTCTTATTTTGTATTCACACATGAAACTCACAGATGGACTTGAAATATGAGGATATTCTGCTGGTGATGGGCAAGGAGAGACATTTCTGACTTCAATTTCTTCAAGCACCCGGAACTCCTATGTATATAGCAGAGCAGCTGGAATTGCAGTTCAAGTCAATACCATGCTCATGTGGGATACAGAAAAACTTTGATCTATCATATCTGTGATACACTGGGAACAAAAATGTAGAATTGTAAACTATTCCCACTGCATGTACAAAGCCTACTTGTGAAAAAAAGAGGGCAATTTTTTTTGCTTTCTTGTTTGTTAATGCTGGTATTACCAGATAAGAATAATTATAAGCTTTCAGCATGATGCTCTATCCAAATCATTATTCATTTATGGAGGCATCAGGTCTTTCATCCTTCATGCCCATGGATATTGTATCTTTTTTGCTTTACAGTATTATGACAGGTATTTTCATTCCTACAATAAATAATTTTAAAATGTCTGCACAGGTCTACTGTTATAAATTACATTTACACGGTGATTTTCTGGATGAATCTAGAAAACCAGAGTTTGCTTTACTTATGACATAGCTATACAGCCATGTCATAGCTTAGTCTCATATATGCAAGCAACAAAAGATGTGGCTATGAGTGTATGATCATTGCCAAAGAACAGCTCATGCAATTGTAATAATAATGCATCAGACCAATCTACAGAAACAAACATAAAATCTGAACCAAAAGGATCATAATTTCTTTCTTAATCATGCACCAAACTAAAGATATAAAGCAGTGCCTACTAGAAGAGATAAAATTTTATATCATGCCACACCTTACCCTGACATATGGGTTATCACAACGAGATAGACATAATGCATGAAGGTCAGATGGTAGTCTCTGACTATGATGAGGTGATTTGACAATGACTTCATCTTCCAAACCCTGATATCCTTTGAGGTGTATGCATGAAAGTCAGAAAAAAAGGCATGCAATGAGTGACATGAAGATTAGGAGGTAGGGTACAGCCATTCTGATTTTACTTGGCTGACTTACAGTAACTTCTTTTATAGCAGGAGCTATTCATATGGGGTCCCTCACATACATTATATTTATACAACACATTTAGTCATAATCTTCCCACTAATAATTATTGGTCCAACATTTTTCATGAACCCATATGGGCCAGTCAGGCCTATTTCAAAATAATGTCAGCCTATATTTGGCACCAAAAAATTTAAACCTATATGTTCCATCATTTTAAAAATAAAATGTTACTGTTATTCCACAAGAGACTCAAGAAGAGGGAAAAAGTAGGATTGATAAAGCTTACACAAGTAAAAAATTAGAATAAACCATTATATATTCTATGTACTTCTTCCTAAACCTTTATGAAATGGGAAGCATCAAGAGAAAGTCTGTGAAGAGGGCTCTCACCAGGTGGATCATAGACTGATTGTCATATCTATAATGCCACTACATTTTGTAAAAAAGACAGAAGGAACATAAGGTAGATATCCAAAATAATATTGGTTTTCACCTTTTGCTTCACTTTTAAAGCTGCATTACCATTTAACAGCATAGTTTCACAAGCCAGGAACACCACCTACATTTAATAATTAATATTTTCCATCTTTTGAACACCACATTCATATTGCAAACAACACCATTCATGTGTGACAATTGCCTTGTGAACAAGGAAGTTCATGACCATCCAATTACTTTTGAATCTGACAGAATTGAGTACTCAGGAAGTATCACGTTAAAGTATTGTTTCTCCCTTCCAAGCTGTGACCAGCTTGATACCAGAACACATCTACTGAAGGTCAATATATTTTTGGTGAGTCTTGAAGGACAATACCTACAGGTCAGATGAGAAAAAGAGTGGGGTAATTCAAAGCAACAATCCTGTGGAAGTTGAACAATGTCATGTCAGTCTGCATTATTGCAAAAATAC